GGGGGGGTCCATGGAAGTCCTAACCATAGCTACATATTAACATGATCCACCATTTTGTAAATTTTTTAGCTGTAATACAGAGCACTTTGTCTGAAGCCACAACCTGTAACAAGAGTTGTAGCACTTGTTTACACTGCTCTGTGTGTGTGTGTGTGTTAACACCAGTAGACGTGTGGTTTCAAACAGATTCACACAGATCCTCACACTCTGCTAAATCATCACTAGTAACACGTTAAAAGATCAGGCTTTCATTTTCATGTCTTCTTAAGTGCCCCTCGCAATTCACTAACGAGACCCCCTGGGAGTCCCCGGTACCCAGATTGGGAAACACTGTGGTCACTTCACTGGCGGAATTTGCAGCTTCAAATCTGCCCAGATCCTTATTTTATTTCCAAACATGGGGTGGGGGGCGTTTAAAAACAAAAACTATTAGTGAAGTCAGCCAAGTGTATTCTTGGCTAATAAATATTGCAGTCCCCGAGGGTAACTGTCACGACCCGTGAGCTCAACTTAAAGAATCTGTTAGCAGTGTTTTAACGGTTATGGTACAAGCTTCACTTTCACACGTTAGCTGAAGTTCAAGAAGCGGTTAGAGCTAACTTAGCTCGGTGTAATGAGCTAATCTAAGTGTAACGTTAGCTCTCTGGCAGACTGAAACAATGAGCTCAGAGTGCAGTCAGCCTTGGCTAGCTTGCTGCTGCATGCTGTGTTGGCTACATAACGTAAAGCTAGCCAGCTTGCCATGCACACAAGGCTAACGTTAAATGGCTAACGACTCGTAGCACTATTAACAATAAGAAGAAAAAAAGAAGAAAAAAATGTACTTACTTACCGACTTAGCTAGACACTCCTATTCCAAACCGTGGTCTGCCCATGGTGGTGTATGCTCCATAAAAAGAACAAATCAACGGTAATTATGCTTTACTTATAAGAAAACCTCTAAAAAAAAATCTGAAGCACCAGAAAGCAGTGGCAGCGCACTCCCCAAGACATCCAACACAAGAGAGGAGGGGAGGCCAGCGATTCACTGGACTTCTGCCATCACACTTCGAGATACCGTCCACAGCGTAAACAGCCGAGTCCCGAGCGCATTTTTATCGGTGCCGTCTCAAGCCAGACACAAGTCCAGTCCTCTCCAGCGACCCTCTGTCAATTATTCCCACAGCGAATAGCTTTCAATCCAGGTTAATTCCTCCGTATTCACCGTCTCTGGATGAGCGCCGTGCTGGTTCTTCGTGTGGGAACTGATACAATGTAGCCAACCAGCAGCAGCGATTAGGAAATCCAGGATAGAGAAGTTCCTCTCGGAATGGACTGGGATACGTCAGGTACAATGCATGGAACTGGATTAACCAGCCTGGACTGTGTGCGTGTGTGTGTTAGTTTTCAGCGAGGGGATATGCACCAGCTAGTCCAGCCCCCACTGAATGCGTTGAGTTCTAGCCGCTGCTGTGGTTTTTACACAGAGACAGGGCCGTAGCCAGGATTTTTAAAAATACTGAGGTCATAAGTTGAATCTTTTCCTCTCTCAGTTCTTATAATGGAGTAAGGCTTCTTTAAGCTATCTATAAATAATACTGTTTTCCTATAAATAACACCGATTTCAGATTTATTGCTAAATGTAGGACAGAGCACAATTACCAAATGCAACTAGCAGCCCAAAACATCAAAATGTTAAATGTAGCCTTCCATGATCCAGAAAAGACACCAATAATCCTCCATAAATTGTCTGTAGTTTACTCACTGAAGTGACTCTTCTTTTTTTTTTAAATGATGTGATTTTACATTAAAAATATTTTAAATAATGACTTCACATAAAAGTGTCTAATACATTAGAAAATACCAAATAGTAGACAATAGACCACTGTTGTGCTACATTACAGTTCAGGGATAGAAATGCTAATAATCTGATGATGATGATTTGTTGATGACTGTGTGATAATGGGAAGTCAGACATAAATTGTCTGGCCTTCATCATGTGTTTATAAGACACAACTAATGATATTGTCAGTACACTCCAAACAATATGCCAGTCACTCTTGGCCTATCAAAAGGTCAACATCATAGGTATATTTTTAAATCAGTAGTGTGACAGGACTCTAGCTACCCTTACTGCTTCCATAGGAATTAAGAGGGTCAGTCTCAAACAAGTACTGCCAAAATCCGACTGCCTCTATAAGTGCAGATGTTTTAGCAGTTGGCTGGTCTGAGGGGTTCAGGTGTGTGTAGATACGGTTTTCTAAGTAGTATAACGTTCTAGCAAATTCACCACAAGGTCAGACCCTACGATGCTCAGGGAAATTGTAAAAAACGGGGGGGGGGGGGCCAGGTGGTACATTTTAGTCTCTAGAGACCTCAGTTAGCATGTTAAATGTGTAAAACATGTTTCAAACAGTATCCAGACCAGAGTTTGTCAGTAATGAACAGCGGCATATTTAGCAAATTCCAAATCAACAGAAACACCTCATACTAACTGTCAAACACATGGTGAAAACAAGCCCACAAACTCAGTGAATTAAAGGGACATTGTAGAGAAAAATGGACCAAACTTTCTTGACAACAATACGAGACACTGATAAAGTAGTTCAGAAAATTATTACTTCAAGATTTTGCTGGTAAAAGTTGTTCTAAAAACTACTAAATCACACTTAGTCTGTTAAAGAGTAATAACACACATACACATAATAACACTTATTAATGGAGCTTGGAGTGACCATGTAAAAAAACTGAATTAATTGTGTATAAAAAATTCATTAGGGAATTATTAATTATTATTATTAGGCAGTCACATATGGATTCATCACCGTGTAATAAGCCATCAGATCTGCAGGGGGGAAACTGATAAATGGTTTTTAGAGTAATCCTGGTCTGCCCTGGAATGTTACATGTTTAAAAGGTGCATTGTTGTTCATATTTTCCCTACCAGCCTTTTCCAGAAGGAAAGTGGCTGAACAGTTCAGTGGAGCGGTCTACTTGATGAACTAAAGAGCTTACCTAAACAATAAAGCAGGTGTTACTCTGGACAGGGGTAAACACTGACCAAAGGGATTTGTCACAACCTGGCAACCCAAATGTTCACGTAACTGGCTTATAAATGATCGAATACACTTAGTATGTGACTTATTCAACCTGTACAAGCCCACAGGGGTGTTTTGTCGTTAGAACGTGGCAGCACTGACGCATCACGATGAATGTACTCTAACTTGGTTTTAAAAAAGGGAAACCAAATGTGCATTTTGTTGAATGACAACACTTTTAAATCTGTAAAAACTGTGATTCTACACAAGAAAGCAACGCGGAGGCAAAAACTTGATCTTCACGCTTGAGGCAAATTGGACATGTTACCTTAGTGACTGCCAGCTGGGTTCAGATTTTACTGAAGTGAATCTATAACAACAACTGACGGGGAGTTTCTCAGAAAACATTAAGCTGGGAAAGGAAAAGATTCCTACAATAAGACCCTTAGACATGTCATGAATCCAGTTCTCCCAGCTCCACGGATAACCTTTCATGTGTACCAGCTTCAAACACCATGAAGGCTTTAAGTCGTTGTCTCGCTCAGTGCTGGTTTCCCAGGCAACAAGAATATGATAATGTTGCCTTTGACATGACAGAAGGAATCATCTCGCTAACAAACAGAGACAACAGGCACAGGGAGGGCTCGGAGAGAGGCAGGGGAGGGGGCTGAATTAATGGACTCATTTTCACACAGAGGGAAACACAGCGGCAGCAGCTACTTACCATCCTCCATCTTCCTCTATTGCCTCCAATGCATTCCTGCTGGCAGGCACACTCTTGCTCTCCCGAGGGAACAGCCAGCCTCCATTGGAAAGCTAAATAACAGTCAGTGGCCAGTGGGGACCGGAGAGGGACAGCTTTCTGATGAAGGCTGCCCTTCAAGGCTGTATGGCTCCAAACCAAGTGCTCTCGCTGCTTAGCGTCACACCAGCTAAAACCTGAAATGAACAAGCTGTGTGGACGCCATGTGTTTTCCATCAGTGAAGAAGGGTTAATCAGCCAGCCATGTGGAATCACAGAGGGGCTGGCTTGATTCATGTGATCATCTTTCCATTACTCTATAAAAGAAACTGTAAAGCCTCAAAGCCCATCTGTAAGAAAGTTGTTCTTTAGCACATGTTTGAAAATCCATATCAGCTAACAGCCTTGTTGAAGAAACTGATGCAACAGAATAAAATGACATAAAATGACACAGTCACAGAAAATAAAAATGTATCGTCCTTACCTAGATTAAAAAGGCAAAGCCTACTGAATGGACTGTTTTTGTCATACACATTTATGTTTTCACATTTTAGTCCTCACTTTGCTCCAGACTGAAATGTCCCATCATTAATGTTTATGCTAACAATACATCTTTTAAATTGCAAGGTATCTAAGCTTAATTTTTTTTACATAACATCTTGTGTTTTGAACAGATTAAGTCTAAATGTAAAGATACAAATGTGACATGTACTGTTAACACTGCTGATTTAATCTCGTTACATTTACATCTGCTCAGATTGATTTTTTTTCTAGTGCATGACATTAACTTGTTTATTGTTTTCTTTGACTGAAACGTTCCAAGCATCTGTTACATGCAGGCATTCATTCCCCCCTTGAGAATGAAGGGTAATAACCTTGTTTCTCAGCGCCATCATTGTTGAAATCTTTCATTTGGTTTACAATTAAATTCCTCACGAAACCATTACAATCCCATCGTCTTTGACTGTACTTTGTGTTTAGTACCACTCAAAAAATATTAGCACCAAATGAAAATGGCGATGGCGGGAATGGTAAGAGTTTTTATTAATCCAAGTCAATTCAGTTTTATTTAGATAGCACCAATCACAACACCAGTCACCTCAAAGCTCTTTATATTCCAACAATAATAGAGAGACTGTTTAAAAAGTGCTTTAAACAAACAAAAGCAATTGGCCACCTACATGTTACACCTACAGGATCTGCTCCCGTCATAGTAACCAGTGCCATGAAGCTCCCAGTGCACGGTTTTTGTGCTGATGTTAATGACATTTGAAACCCTGCAGTTACTGAGTGTAAGTGACTTTTATGTACAATGGACCTTAGCAGTTGGTGACCCCGCTCTGTAACCCTACATGATGTGCCACTTTGTGTCCGAGTTCCTGTGGTTCCTAAACACTTCCAGTATGGAATTATACCACTTACAGCTGATGGTGGAACATCGACAAGTGAAGAAATGTTACAAATTGACTTGCTGTAATGGTGATATCCTATTACAGCACCATCTTCCAACTCAGCGAGCTCTTTAGAACCATCCATTCTTTCTGTCTGTGTAGGCGCTTGGTCATCCAGGTCATGGTAGCCTTCACAGCTTGGAAAAGGAGGAATCCAAGAGGCTTTTTCGGTCCCCTGTAATAAACCTCTAGAGGAGGCTGTCTTCTTTGGAGGTGGTCCTGAAGGTCGCTAACCTACTATTGATCTTGTGAGTAGTCACGTAAGCTGAGGTGTCAAAAAAGCCGTGGGTCATCCCCATCACCTGGGCAGACAGGTGAAACCTCTGTTAGACCTTACCCCACCCCACTATCACGTAAACTATTGAGGTTACCTGAGGCAAGGTGTGAATGGGGGTTGAAACCCCTGGGAAGGGATTTCAGGACTGCATTGCAGGTGGCTCATAGCTGATGTCGTAAGCCGACACCTCTGTTTAATGATGGTCGTTCACGGCGGACATAGATGGTCTCCTTTACTCCTCTTTCAAACCTTCTGTCTTCTCAGTCCAAAACGGGCGTCCTTGAAAGACTGACCTTTGTCCTTAAGGTGCCTTCCATGCTAACTTTACATATAAACAAACTATATTTCGACACCTTGCTTTATAAATACGCTGTACTTTTCAGGGGGCAGGCTGTATTATGGAGCGTTCCTTTTTACATCTTTATTTAATATTAATTATATTGATGCGCAGGGTGGATATTGTGTTATTAATCTTTTGTACAATCCAAATACGAAAAAGGACTCTCGGTCTCACCAAGTTACATGAAAAAATAAACGCCATCACATTTTGCGGACTTGTGTGACCTTATGTAAATCTAACTTTATATTTTTTCTTTCACAGTTCAAACATAACTTTTAAAAGGACTGCACAGGAAAGGAATGTTTCTTTACCTCTAAAATACCTGGAAATTAGGCGATAGCGTATCCCACTATTACACTATTACTATAACAACATAAGATGGAGAAATATAGTTTGTTTTTCAGCAAAACTACCAAGAAATTTGGCAGGACTTAAAATTATTTACAGTATAATCATTTCTTTGTTTCCTGTAAAACTTGTAAAACTCTTTTTCTAGTTTACCTACCTTTAAGTGTTTGTAGGTAAATATATTTACGTTCTTATTTCACATAAAGTACATCGAAATGCCATTGAATTACAGGGTAATTATGCTTTTAGTTGGGGGCTGTATTATAAAGTGTTACAGCGTTACTCTGTGTACACTCCTCTTTTTCACAGGAAGCAGTGAATGAGTAAACCCCACGTTGCGAGAGAATGAGACGGACAGAAGATGAGTTGCAGTTGTTGGGATTTGATGACCTGACTTGTCTGGTCGTAGCCATCAGCGAAGGTCGTGTAATGGATTGGAGTCATGCACACAACAAAGTACATTAAGACGAGGAGAAATCACCCTTGTTGAATATAAGGTCACTTAAGAGCCACGAATTAATCAACATAATGAACATGGACGTCAGTAAAGTAATATGGGATACATTATGCTGGGGAGATTATTTTAAAACAAAGTTGTAAGACCAATCTGCTTCCTAGACTAATCTCAGGTCAAATACGTGACCTAAATAATGCATAAAAAGGCTCAATCAAAGGAAACTGTGGGGTGGGGGGTTCAGACTGTTAAAGATGTACTCTTTTGTCTAGATTGCGCTCATAGCAACGCGCCCCTCCTCTGACAAGCAAAATGAGATCAAGCATGAAAGCAATGACATCTTTTACTGCATGTTCTAAATTTGTATGAAGCATCTAATTTGGGACAAACTTGGGGTTTGACCCAATTAGTCAAACAGAAATCATACCACAGTCATGAGGCATTTGCAAAAGACATCTTTGCATGTAAGAGACTGAGAACAAAAGCTTTATTGTCAGTTTGGTGATTAGAAGACAGTCAATTTTTTTCCCCCCTTCCTAAAAGTTTTAATCTTTCGTGTCCTCAAATTGCAGCAGTTTTCTCACACATCTGCAACTCTTTATACAAACAAGCTGTTGGCAAAAAAAAATGTTTGTATTTATTGTCTATCATATAGCAATATGCAAATAGTTAATCCAGAGTAATCATGTTATGTATCTGTTACAGTGCTTGCTCCTGAGAAAACAGAAGCCTGGAAGGGACTATTTTACATATGCAAGAGACTAAGGCTTCACAAATCACTGTGTTCGGAGATTTAATCCTCCTGACAGAGGAGGCCATGAAGACAGACGGTCTACAGTAATGTCTACAGTGTGGCATTATGTGAATTAATAAGACCCGAAAGCTGTGAAGACTTCTTGGTGGGGGATTCTGTAGGTGGGCATTTTATTCTGATTTAAAGACCCCAGAGTCTGTTTAGTTTGGAGTTTTGGAGCAATTTCCCTCGGCGCTTCTGTCGGATTGACTTTGAGAAAAATCAACATGGCCATAATTTTAAGTATCACCTACTCTATTTGTGTCACTACAGATACCCTCTCATTCAGGAGCACAGCAAGGTCAAAGGTCAGGGATTAAATTGACCTCTTATCAGTGGATCTTTAGAAATGGCCAGCAATTGAAAGCCGTTTGTGATGAGAAATCCATTTTTAATTGAACTGATGCAACTGCACTCCCTTTGTGAATCCTGGAAGTCAGGTCAGCAGGCTTTCGGAATCTGAGATCGTTTCTTTTATTTATTTATTTCTCCGATCAGGATTATTTGTGGAGGAGGCAATTTATAGATCTGATATGAACATTTACCGTGGCCCATCTTTTAAGGTGCAAGCAGGTCATAGCTCTTCTTGAGCTGTGGTCACATAAAGAGAACCACTTCTTATCGCTCCCACTGAGTGTATTTCTCACTGCCCTTGAGGGAATATAAGCTTTCAAAAGACTCGTGCGCATTCCCTCCTCCAATGGGGCCCAACCTTAGATCTGTGGACTATGTAGAGTCTACACTGAATGGAAAAGATAGCAATTGTGCTCTTTTAGTTTATGCATCAACATCAGTTGTGATGAAGGAATGGGATTTCATGCAAAAAAAAAAAAAAGCTGTGAGGACTGTGAAGAAGTGGGTATGAGCTATAGAAATTAATAGTGCAGCAGTTTGGGAAATGCCAAGAGTTAAATGAGAAGTTCAGTGGCTGCACAGTAAATACGATGCTACAGCTGAGTTGGCTTAGTGGAGCTGGAAACACCTAGGTAAACTCCCTCCAAACATAATTCCCCTACCATCAAATGTGCTAAATTAAGCTTACAGATCTATCTTCAAGTGGCATCTGGCTTCTCAAGTCACACACAAACCATTTGAAAGTCCTGATGGCTTGAGATGAAAACACTGTGTCTTAAATCCCAGGATGTTTTTGAAGTAACGAGCATCAGATTTTGCGGTCAAGCTGTCTTAAATGAGCAAATATTGACCCACTCATTCCTCAAAATTTCCTTTTGTACAACCACCATGGCTTGACAGGCAGCGATCCATGACAGATTATGAGATGGATGAGCCATAAGCTGTTACCGGGTTTGTATTGTTCCCCAGCCTGCCACCACCTCTTCTGAAGTGCTGCGAAGCACTAATTCCTCTTCCAGGCCTGTGGGGATGGGGGTGGCGGTGGAGGATGGGACCCTGTGCCCTCAGACCAATCAGTCTCTCAGCAAGCACACAAAGGTCCTGCTGCTTCTACAACTGGAAACTTGGCTCGACGGTGAGGAGGGCATGCTGTTGGAAAGGAGTCAATTACATTTCTTTTCATTTAGAAAATTCAGTTGGGCATCATTTCAGCCCTAATGACAAATAAACAGATTATCCTATTTATGTCTAATTTAATTTATAACTTCAGCTAAACGGATCAAAGTTGGAGGGTGGCAGGAATTGTACTTGGAGTTCCTGCTTCTGAAACAGGTGGTGCTCAAAATTGGATGATGCCATGCTTGTTATATTGCTTCATCTACTCTGATTAGTTCCTCTCCCTTGTTCACCAGCAGAAATAACAGCAGGGTGGTTGGTGTGTGATGAAGAAGCCGAATCACTGCCATTATGTTACTTTGAAAACAAAATAATTTCACAAAAACTACCAGAGTCAAAATGATTAACTCCCCTGATGCTAACAGTCATTTGTGTATCCTTTTAGCTAGAAAACCGCCACAAGGATACGCGTGTGTGACAAAAGTCAGACACGCATCTCCTGTCCAATCCCAGCCCGTTCTTATTTGGCGAATCTCTCAATCTCCTCCAAATTCAATGGTCTGGTATGAACCCGTGTCTTTGACAGTCCGGTCAATAACATTCACTTTGGTTTTCTGGTGGTAGCTCTTGACCAGGAGTGACACATGTTGGGGTCACTGTCGTGTTGGAAGACAAAGCGACAACACAGACACAGTTTTGTTGCTGAAACTTGTGGTCACATATCCTGCTTTATTCATGATTCCTTCCACCTTGACGAGATTCCCAGTTCCAGATGCACTGAAACACCCCCACATCATAATACCCCCACCATGTTTCGCTGTGGGGATGATGCTCTTTGCATTGTTCACCGCTCCCTTTTTATTTCAAAAACAAACAACCTCTCTGTGGGAAAACAGCTCTAGTGTCGTCTCATCTGACCAAAGGATGAGCTTCCAGTACGCAAAATCTTTCTCCAGGTTGTCCTCAGCATACTTGTATTTTGAATTATGTTGAAGTTGCTCGAGGGGGTCTCTTCTGTAGAAGTTTTTCTTGGTATGCAACCTCACAGTTCAGTCCCGTTCAAGGTTCTAGTGTCTTTGCAGTTGTTCTGGGGTAGCATTAGTTTTTTTTTTTTTATTATTAAGGATCTTTGAAACCTTTTGCTTCTGTCTGGTTTTGTCTGTTCTTTGAATTTCTTGATGATACTTTTCTCCAGTTCTTGACCCCCCACCCCCACCCACTAAAATAGTTTTGTGATTGTGTGGAAATAGAAATAAGTCACGCTTTCTAGAGAAAACTAGCATGTTTAGAAATGCTTTGAGAAAAAACACTTTACAGACACTTTAAAATCCGGATGATTTGCTGCCAGCACTTTCATCTGTCGCAGTTCACCGTGGCTCCGACTTCGTGTCAGGTTTACTATATAAAATGGATCACCTCGAGCATTTCCTCCACACATCGCATCATCTTTTGTGCACGAAAAACCAACAGCATATGATCTCATGGTGTTTATCTAAAGAGGCTTAGTAAAAACTGCATGCGCTTAATTGTGCAGCGTAGCAGCACAGAGCCCTTGTTTATGTGAACTTGGATGTCTGTTCTCATCCGAAGAAATGCCCCCGATCCCGAAGACAGAAGAAAAGGCCACCCACAGGGCAAGTAGCTGTCATCGTTGATTCACTGCAGGATGAATATAGTAAATTCTTAAGCAACCTCTCTTGAAAAAACACCTATTGAGAAACTTTACAAAAGAGGCCTCTTACATTCTCCGGGTGGGAGATTACTGGGAGGGTTGGTGCAATTATGCCTCCTCGTTCTGAATGAAGTGGAGCAGAGAGTTGTAGCTAATCTGCAACTCAAACAAGAGTAAATCTAAGCTAATCAACGGAGAATTACAATGCCAGGCACAGGCGAAAACATAACAACTCGGGATGGGTGTGTGTGTGTGCGTGTTGGTGATTCATGCTATGCTTTTCACGGTGAAATACGCCCCAGGGCAAGAAACAGCTTAGTCAAAGAGCCACTCAACACATTTGCAAGGAGGTAAACACGCAGCAGCTCAAGAGCAGGTAGAAATGTGCATGTCAGAAATATCAATCAGAGCCTGTCACAGCAGCACTTAATAACAGAGGTGTCAAAGACTTTATGTGTGCCTGAATATAAACTCAATAAATGATTTCACTGGTAGTTGTCTGAGCATGCAGGTCTGGAAGGCTCGCTGGAGATTTGGTGTTTTTCTTTTTTAAAGCAAGAGAAGATGTGCGACGAACCAGATCCACGAGAAATTCTTACCTTTATCGTTCAATCAACTGAAAAGAAAAAAAAAAGGTGTTGACTTTGGGGAAAAATCTTTAAAAACTAGTTTAAAGTCATGTGGTGAGCTGGAAGCACAGACACAGGCCAGCTAATCTGTGGTGTTATGACTGAAAATACCCCTGCTTCCAAGGGTTTTCCTCCATGCGGGCATGTTGCTGCAGGTACGGCAGAGGAGACGAAATACCATCCGAGCAGCTGAATGAGTTGCCGAGTCTGAGGGCTTATCAGACGGCGGTTTAGGGTTGAGGAGGGACTCTGAAAGGTTATCGCGGCAGCAATAACTCTCTCTGTGCATTTAAAGACTGCGGAAGAAACAAAGTAACTGACACAATGCTCAAGTTTACAGCGCATGGACCAGCCGTATATTTGATTAGTCTAATCAGTGTGTTGCTGGGTGACGTTAGATCACGCTGCAGGAACATGATCAATTTTTCTGCCTTTCCTCCTGCCGTGCCAATGAAACGGCTTCGTTGAAATTAATGAGAGGGCTCTGTGTATGTGTGTGTTTTTTTTAACACTGCTATTGTTGGTCTAAATGAGGCTTTAGGTGTGAGAAGGGTAATGACAGGCTTGCTTCTGTCGAGAAGAGATGAACCGCATTTCTCCTGTGGTTATTATGCTCTCAACTAAAAATAAAGC